GTGGACAGGTGTGTGGGGGGAGTCTAGAACAGGGGTGGCCAAACTGTGGCTCGGCAGCCACATGCAGTTCTTTCACACATACTGTGCGGTTCCCGGCAGGGTGGCTGGGGAAGCTAAGGGGAGCCATGCTGTTCCTTCCTTCCTTCCTTCCTTCCTTCCTTCCTTCCTTCCTTCCTTCCATTTGCTTTCTTTGTTTCTTTCTCTTTCTCTCTTTCTTTCCACCTCTTCCATTCTTTCTTTCCACCTCTCTCTTTCTGTGTCAAGCAAGTACGTATCATTGGACAAATAAATATCATTATCAATATCTGTTTTTACCCCTTTTGCTTTTAATTTTTGGCAGTCTCATTTAATGTTAATAAAAAGCAAATGTGCATGTTTTTAAAATAAAAACATGTTTGTAATATCTGTTCATGTCTCGTGTCTCTCAAACGTCTGACGTTTATTCTATGTGGCTCTTACGTTGAGCACGTTTGGCCACCCCTGGTCTAGAACCATAGCCAGCTGATGCTTGGGGAGGGAGAAGCCTTCACTCTAGCTAGATGCTTGGCCCTTTCCTCGGCTGTCCTTGAAGGGAGATACAGGAAGATACCTTTTGATCAGAGGCCCATTCTGCATCTAGCATTTGCTCCACTGTTTTACCAAACCCACGTTGGAACAGAAATTCCCTTCTACCTTGCATGCTTCTTTCACTTTGATTTTTTGTCAGATTTTATGGCAGTGTCCAGACCGCATGCCACTTTCACTTCATTTGATCTCCCAGTTTTATGGTACTGTCTGCATAGATTTACAGCCGTTTTATGGCCATTCAGGGGTGACTTTGCAGTCAGTACAGAGTTGGCCTGGGGTATCTGAATGTGGTTTTGAGGCACATCTTTTTCTGTTCCAGTGTTCCAGTGTGGGTTTGGTAAAACAACGGAGCGAATGCTAGATGCAGAATGGGCCAGAGATATGGGGCGATTCTGCTTCTACCATTCGCTCCACTTTTTCTCAACATGTGAATTGGGGGAAGTTGAAACAACTGAACATACACTTCTCAGGTGCCTATGGTACGAGTCAGTTCAACTCAAATATATTTTACCTCTGGTAAAGGTAATCTGGCCACGAAATGAGAAGGGAGCACTCACTGGAAAAGACCCCGGTGCAGGGGAAAATTGAAGGTAAAAAAAGAAGGGGATGGCAGAGGATGAGATGGTTAGACAGTGGGCGATTTCGCACTAGAGCTGCCTCGAGGCGCAGCCGCCGTTTGCCCCAACACAAACATGTCAGTTTCATACCCGAAGCTGCGGGGCTGCATTTTGACTCGCGGCTTCGTCCGATTTTCTCCGCAGTTTCGTGATCCTGGTTTTTGAGGATCACGAAACTGCGGAGGAAATCGGGCGAAGCCACGGGTCAAATGCAGCCCCGCAGCCTCGGGTGTGAAATTGATAAATAGTGTCGGGGCAAACAGCGGCTGCGCCGCGAGGCAGCTCTAGTGCGAAATCGCCCAGTTATTGATGCAATGAAGTTAAGCAAACTCCAGAGGACGACGGAGGACAGGAGGGCCTGGCGTGATATGGTCCATGGGGTTGTGAAGAGTCGGACTCGACTGTGCAACTGAACAACAACAACAAAGGTAATGCCTGGTCCGAAGGACTCTGACTATGTAAATTAATTTGTGCCGTAGAAAATCAGACCATAACCAAACATGTAGCTAAATTCTGTGCAGCTGGTTACTGTATCCTCAAAGAAAAGATCATTTAATCTTTTATCTTTCTTTTTGACCATGGCTTTTATATTTTCACAAATCGACTATATCGGTTATGTATAATGTTACTGATTTGCTGGCTCCTGCTGTAACAAATAAAGATAGAGGGAGGAAGAAGAGCAGCAACAGACCTCCACTGGCCAACAAAGGTCTGAAGGTGAATTTATTTACAGCATTTTTAATGTCATCCCTGCCTTTTCAGCCCTTGGGGAGGGAGGGAAAGAGAGGAAATCAACCTTTTTCTCCTCCCTAATTCCCCAAACTGCAAGTCTCACCAGATGACTCAGAGATGACTGATTTGCAATAATGACCTGGAATAGGCACCTCCCCAAATTGTTTTGTGACATCCTGAAAGCGCTTACATGGTGATGAAGAGAAGCATTAAACCTGCCCAAACCATTCCCAGGGGCCTATTTGGGGCACATCTATCTTAGGCCAAAATAACTCTTCGAAAAAATCATACCCATTTTACAGATGGGAGAAATCAAGACTGAGGAGAAGCCCCTTGTGCTGAGCATGCATACTTGGCAGCATGTGGCTCATCCAGAGGGCAGGCTCCCATCTTGCATTCCTGGTGGGATATCTTATAGCCCTTGCTGGAAAAAAGAAGTAGGATCTTTTCCCTTGCAAGACTTGCCCACAGCGAGGACAGGGAGGCTTCAGGGAGCACTGCATAGACCGGGCTGGTCTCTTGCCAGGCCCTGACAGTTGTGTGTGCCAACAGGGCACCAGCAGAGGCCAAAGGGCCACAAGGGCCGGAAGCATCAGAACAGGCCTCCAGCTCTGGAAATTACAAACCAGCTGAAGCACTCTGAGAGGCTGGCCTGAGTGGCATTCTCTCGGGATTAACACCGCAAGACAGAATGAAGATGCCTCCACATACAAAAGGCCACCTGCCCTCCTCGTAACACTTCCTACGTGTAGAGGGTGTACTCGCCGCATGCGAGGGGGGTGTGGGTTTCCCCTTACAAAATGGCCCCAGACCCAATTCGGATCACCTTCCCCTCTTGTCAAGATTGTGTCGGAGACAAGAGAGTGCAGGGGTGACTGATCTTCCCAACCCACGCACCTGGAGACACCAGCTTTCGGTGCAGGCTGCAGGTTGTCTGCATTTCCCAAATACGCCAGGGGCAAGGAACTGTGGGCGGGGGGGGGATCGGATCACCTTCCCCTCTTGTCAAGATTGTGTCGGAGACAAGAGAGTGCAGGGGTGACTGATCTTCCCAACCCACGCACCTGGAGACACCAGCTTTCGGTGCAGGCT